GTATTTTCATTTGAAGCGAAAGCTGATAAGGGTTTATCATGGGACAGCAAGCATATGCGAGTATCAGTGGCCAACCTTTGAGAGTGAGGCGAGTGATTCATATCTTCCAGTGGCCTTGTCGCCATGTCCGTCAACTTGGTTGCCATTTGGTTGTTGTCAGTTGTAACATAGGATTGCTTTCGCTCCCAGAAGTAAGCAATCGGCTTGGAGGATCGATTTCCGGGCAAAAGTGAATCCCCTGTCTTAGCATATTCACTGCTCGCCTCAAAGTCAGCAGAAGCGAGGCAGGTGGACTCAGAATATGAACCAGAAGGGGGCAAACATTTATCGACAAAGTGAGGCTCTTCAAGTTTATCTGTCATAATTCGATTCTGAAGTGAGAGAAAGAGGAAATGTCCGTGAAATGTTGGAAGGCTATACGGTAAAAAAAAGGATAAAAGTATTTATAAGTACAAATTATTTTTGACTATGCTATTGAGTAGACCGGCTTGACAAACATGTAGATAATGATTAGTGCTATTCTACAGGATCAGTCTTTCAAGGAATAATATTCTCTTCAATTTGGGTTTGATAGAATTTAAACTTGGTTCACCTACGACTTGGAAAAAATGGGAAAGGTTGGGAAAGGATGGTCTTTTCCTTTGATCTTTAACTAGACTAGTCAATTAACTATTGGTAGTATACTAAACACAGAATAGTAAAGAATTTTTAAAAGGTCAAATCTCTTCAGTGACTCACTTTTGAAGAAGATAAAGAGTGGAAAAAAATCACCGTTTTGTTCAAAGAATATAATTATTAGCCTAGATCTGTTATTAAACTCCACTGCCCATAATTGGCTTTGCGTACACATGAAAAAAACACAAATTAACACGCAATGACGAAATCTAGTAAACAGTATAAAAATCCCAGTAACTTGTGTTCATTCAGCAAATAGCTTACAGACTGTGAAAAATCTTAACTAAGTAGCTAGCATACAATAGTTATTCCCCAACAAAGCAAGACTTGATACACATTTAAAATAAATATCAATTTATTTGTTTGGATAACATAAAATGAATGTATTCCTAACATAAAAGTTATAGAAAAATTTAAACAAATAAAATTTCGGTATCGGTATTCATGCTTAGCTGGAATGTAATGCTTGAAAGGAATATCTACTCCTTAT